ATCACATTAAGGACTTTCTGGGATATAAAAAGAAGGAAGGAAGCCGGAACATGGTGGTGAATACCTGTAAACCCAGCAACTTAGGAGGTTGAGGCAGGAGTATCACAAGTTTGAGGTCAGTCTCAGCAATTTAGCAAACCCTTAAGCAAAATCTGGTCTCAAAATAAAATAAAAAAATAAAAAGGGCTGGGGATATAGCTCAGTGGCTAAGAATCCCTGGGTTCAATCCCCCATACAGAAAGAAAGGGGAAAAAAGGAGGGAGGGAGGAAGACAAATAAAGAAAGAAAAGAGAAAGAAGGAAAGAACAGAAATCTATTATAAAGGGAGGGAATCAACTTTGCACTGGGGTTGGGCCCTTGTTCTCCCCATAATACCCAACCTGTAAAATATACTCAAATCAAACTTGAGGATGACTTTCTGCAGAGAAAAATCTACACTGTGTTTCTTTGGCTTAGACACTTCCCTTTGCACTTGGTATTAAAAGCCTTGGTTTCCAGGTACCTTTTTATGTGCAAACACAGCTATGGGACTCTAACTAGCCCTGCAGTTCCCTTAGTCTTTTAGCTTCTGACCTCAACCTCAGGTTGCCTCAGAGATATTTAATTGAGCTTGAAAAGACCAGCTTTCTCATCCACTTCCTTATTAACCGGCTTCCGGGCTGTTTTCAGTTAAGCTATTGCAACCTTCACACCTTTTCCTTCCCCATGGCGTTCTCTCAGGGTCTGAAATTAGCTGTGACATCACTGAGCTTAGTGTTGTAAGTTTATTACCTCCAGAATCTTCTCAACACCTCCAGGAGACTGATTTTTGTCTTGACTTCAGAGTTGCAAAACTAAGACTCTGGGGTTGCAGATGTAGCTCGGTAGAGCACTTGCCTGGCATGAACAAGGCCCTGGCTTTCTAAAGGAGGGAAGAAAAAAAAAAAAAACCCTCAGATGCAAAGGTATGGCTGACCAGCTACCGAGGAGGCCAAAGTTGGGTGCTGGAGGTTTTCAATTAACTGTAGAGTCCTTACCTGTCTGTGAGACCCATGGGGATGGTTTCCTTAAATGCAGCCAAAAGGAAACCAAGAGGTATGGATCAGAGGGGTCTTCAAAGGCTCCAAGTCTCTCAAGAATTCTCTTGGTTCTCCCAGAGACTTTCTGACACATAACCCAGGGATTTTTTTTTTTTTAAACTGGGATTGAGCCCAGGGGTGCTTAACCAACTGAGCCACATCCCCAGCCCTTTATATATTTTATTTAAAGTCAGGGTCTCACTGAGTTGCTCAGGGCCTTGCTAAGTTCCTGAGGCCTGGCTCTGAATTCTCAAATTTCAGCCTCAGCCTCCCCAGAGATCTTTTTAACCATGCTACCTGGCTATTTTAAACCCTGTACCCTCAGGCCATGTTCTGTGGTTGAAAAGAAACATCCATGAGGGTAAATCAGGGTACTGAATGTAACATCCATCCATCCATATATAAGTAGAAAAAGAGGAGAGAGAGAGAGAGAGAGAGAGAGAGAGAGAGAGAGAGAGAGAGGTAGGAAAACAACTGGGGTCATGAAAAAAATCAAAATATCAACACTCTTGAGATTTAAAAAACCAATTTAATCCAAGCCGTCCTCTGTTTGGGATGTCACCAGATCTTCCCAGTCACTGAGAAAGTTTCCATTAGCTTCTGTGGCTTCTAACTTGGGCACAAAGATGGTGTCGTGATAAAATGAACATGTGAAAACTACTTTGGGCATCTTTTGGATCATGAATAAGTATAAGAAGTAGGGTGCAATGAAGCTCTTTTCTAAAAACATCGATTGACATTATCTTAGTGCAAGAAAAATTGGTTTACATTCTAGAATAAGAACTTATGAGCATGCCTTCTTGGAGATATAACCAATTGCAGACTTACCTCTGGGATATAAATGCATACCCTGCAGGTTGATCCTGGTTCTCATTTTCTTAAAACTCTACATCTTATCACTGCCTCCAACGTGGAATTTAGGGAATTAATTTTGATCTAATATTCAAACCAAGATGAGCCATCTCTCTTCTTTTTGGTCCTTCACTGCCATCCCCTCCTGTCATTTTACCCAAATGCAAGAACATAGAGTCCAGAATTTAGAAGGATAGTAGTGGTAGATTACAAAAGGGCATCAGGAAAGAAGGAGGTTCAGGAGGACCAGCCTCTCCCATGTGACCGGCAAGAGAAAGAACATCAGAGAGCACCAAACTGACAAAAAAGAAAACAGGTTCATACGTGTGCTTTTGAAAAGGTCTAGCATTGTCAAAGATGCTATTTTAAATAAATGTAAATGTTTCCAAAGCTGGAAGTCAGAGGACCCTTGCAGTTTTTCAGGGGAGGTACAAGAATCTACTGCAGCAAAGCATGAAATCCAAGCATCCATGGGTCTAAATTCAAGAAGCAGGCAAAAGATTCAAGATGCATTTATGCCTGCGGTATCTGGAGAGCTAGAACTGGGCCAAGAACAAGATGACAGCCAAAATAAACAAAGGGAGAGCTGATGTCATTGTCTGGATAAATTAGGAGAAAGACTAAAAATGACTTGACTCATTCAGACAGGCATAATTAGGCACTGACATCTTCATTTAAGCATCCTGACAACCAAATGCATTTGATGTGGACAGTGCCTACCTACAGGGATATTAAAAATTAAATACAAATTAGATAATTTTAGCCATTTCCAAAAAGATTGCTTTTGTGTGGAAGAAGTGATTCATTTTAAAGGATTTTAGACTGAAGGAGAGAAATTCAGGTTGATTGAATCCTGTTTGGACTGTGTAGACAAGATTGTGAACCGCTGTAGAATGTGACTCCCAAAACAGCTGAAGACTGAGTTCTGGAGAATTCTCCCTGCATCCTTTCTTGGCATCGTTTCCTGCGCTCCTGATGCATGTGAACTACACTTGGCAACTGTCTCATTAATGCGTTAGCTTTCATCTGGGAGTGAAGAAATAAAAAACAATCATTCAACTCTTAGGTTCAAAAGTATTCATTGTGGAGACAATGTCTAATGAAGGCCCAACAGGTCTAGGGACAATGTTAGGCTATAATCTCAAATTTTAAAAGCAGCTTATAAATTTGCATCTTCCTCTATGTTGTGGGTGTATGTGCACATGTGCACACTTGGAATTAAACCCAGGGCCTTGCACATGCTAAGCATGTGCTCTACCCACCCCCCACACCGCCCCTCTGTGCGCTTCTTTTTCCTTTTTTTTTTTTTTCTCTCTCTTTCTAATGTTGGTGATTGAACGCAGGGGCACTTCAGCACTGACCTATATCCCAAGCTTCCTTTTTTTTTTTTTTTTTTTTGAGACAGGGTTTCGTTAAGTTGCCCAAGCTGGCCTTGGACTTGTCATCATCCTGCCTCAACCTCTTGAGTCACTGGGATTACAGGCTTGCACCACTATGCCTGGCCCCTGTGTTCTGTGGTGCTGGGAATTGAACCCAGGGCTTTGTGCATGCGAGGCAAGCACTCTACCAACTGAGCTCTATCCCCAGTCCCCGCTGTGTTCTTAATAAAATCAAAATGTGTTGTCTGTGGGCAAGGGGTAAATGAAAGTACAGGATGTGAAGACATTTGCAAACTATAATTTTATATTATCTTTAAAATTAAGAAGATGTATTAGGAAAAAAAATAGGTACATGGTGACTCATCTCTTAGAAATTATTATCAGGAGTCTCACCCTAATGTGATCAAGGAAATGGATAAATGAAAGCTTAAGGATAAAAATCGATAAATATTTGATGGTTTACTCTGTAGACGATGCTAGGAGCTAGGAACAGATGAGGAATGCCCTTATTCACAGCTGGCTACCAACTAACACAGAACTCATCAGTGGATCCTAAATGTCATGGGCTCACAGAGGAAGGCGCAAGGGAGGGGCAAGATGATTTCAAAGGCAGAAGCAGTCATTGTGTCATTTTCTTGAAGTAGAAGTGTGGAGCAGGCTGTGTGTGTGTGTGTGCGTGCGTGTGTCGCATGACTGTGTGTAAATGGGTTTCTTGTCAGCTCTTATACTATTTTGCCTCTTTCCCAGCCTCATCTGTTTTCCAACACTGTGAGGAACTCTTTTTATATGTTATCTGTGTTTATTCTCATGATTGATCTAGAGTGGTAAAAATATCCTTATCTTTTATATGTAAGGAAATGCTTTTTAAAGTGTTTATAAATCTGAGTCGGATGTGGTGACACAGCCCTGAAATTCTAGTGACTCAGAAGGCTGAGACAGTGAGAATCACAAGTTCAAGGTCAATTTCAGCAACTTAGTGAGGCCTTATCTCAAAATTAAAAAAAAAATAAAGAGCTATAAGTGTAACTCAGTGGTAAAAGCCTCTTGGGTTTAATCCCCAGTACCAAAAAAAATCAAGGGTTTATAAATCTAAACCTGAGAGCTTCTCTCCTTAAGTTCTGGAAAGTATAGGAGTCTACCTCTCTCCTACTTCTCCAATCATCAGGCTTGTTCTGCATCCTACTGAGGCAAGGGTGAATTGAACTTCCCATTTGCCTAACTTTAACCTCTGTGCAATTTTGCTAGTACTTTTGGAATTCTTATGTTTGAGACAAATTAGCCTTTATTCAACAGAATGCCCCCAGTCACTTTGGGTGGTAAGCGAGATGTGAGGTCGGCTTGCAAATTAATATGTCTTTTTAAGGACCTTTCCTAGTCACAGAGAAAATTAAACCCTGGAAAGAATTTGCCTCCACAGCCCGTCATATGCTATGCTTTACAGACTACCCAGCCAGGTCGGTGGGTGGGTGGGGGCCTGCGTGGAAAAAAGAAGGGGTTAAGCAATTTATTTTCAAGCACGTTGTTTTTTATTGACAGAATCTCTCTCCAGGCGGTGTTCACATGCTCCCAACTGTGGCTTTTAACTTGGCAGTGCTGTTTAAGCAAACAAACCCAGTCAGTTGAATGCAATGATTAACAGGAAGTTGGGGAGCTGACACAGTTACCAGCCTTGGGCTAGGACAAGAAGCGGGTCTGAAGTCCTAGAGCGATGACTTGCAGAACAGCCACCTCACCCATGAGTGATCTCACTGTGGGAACAGGTACTCTCAACTGGCCACAGCAGCTCCCAGGGGGCGGAGGTTTGGGAGGAGGGTTTTGCAGAGGAAGGGACCGGCAGGCAAGGCAGATGCAAAACAGCTACTTCAGAAATGTGTCAAAGAAAAGTGAAAACGCGACCGAGCTGTAAATGAAGAGAGAAGGGAGAGGGAAAAAGAAGAAGAAGAAAGCAAGAAAGAAAAGAAAAAGAACTGTTGGCTGCTGATGAGAAGTGTGTCTACCAGGAGGATGAGGTTGGAGCCCGCAGGAGACGTGAGTTAACTGGATCGAGGCTCTGATCTCATTTTTCCAAAGACGTTTTGCTCATTTCCTGCTTCTGAACGATGGGCTCTTGGAAGTACTGTCTTTTTAGTGTGTCTCTTATCACTGCCCTGGTTTTTGTATGTGTTTACAACAATAAGTTATGGGAGAACACGCACTTTCTGAAGGCTGCCCCCATCAACAACTCGATGCTGGCTGAAGTCTGTCTCCAGATGTTGAAGGAGGAGGTGTTCTACCCAGTAGAGACTGTATTGAAAACTACCTTCCGTGAATCTACCTGCTACGAGTACAGAGTTCAGAGTCATTATATAACAGAAACACTCTCTCAGGAAGAAGCTGACTTCCCTCTGGCATTCACCCTGACCATCCACAAAGACTTTGACACTTTTGAGAGGCTCTTCAGGGCCATTTACATGCCCCAAAACGTCTACTGTGTGCACGTGGACCAGAAGGCAACAGTTGCATTTAAGGATGCGGTGAAACAATTACTGAGCTGCTTCCCAAATGCTTTTCTGGCTTCTAAGATAGAACCTGTGGTCTATGGTGGGATTTCCAGGCTCCAGGCGGATATCAACTGCATGAAGGACCTGGTGGCCTCTGCCGTGCCCTGGAAGTATGTCCTCAACACCTGTGGGCAAGATTTTCCCCTGAAAACCAACAAGGAAATAATTCAGTATCTGAAAGGATTTATAGGGAAGAACCTTACCCCAGGGGTGCTGCCGCCAGCTCACGCAATTGGACGGACTAAGTATGTCCACCAAGAATTATTGAACAGCAAAAACTCCTACGTGCACAAAACAGGGAAATTAAAATCTCCTCCTCCTCACAATATGACCATCTACTTTGGCACTGCCTATGTGGCCCTCACAAGGGAATTTGCTAACTTTGTTCTCCAAGACCAGCAAGCACTGGACTTGCTCTCCTGGTCCAGGGACACCTACAGTCCTGATGAACATTTCTGGGTGACTCTCAATAGGATTCCTGGTATGTATGTCTTTTTGGTTGTGGTTTAAGAGACAGGGTCTTCTTCTGTTGCCCAGGTTAGACTTGAATTCCTGATGATCCTCCCATCTCAGCTTCCTGGGTAGCTGGGATTACAGACACATGCCACCACACATAATTCCTTTTTTTAAAAAATAAATATGTCAGTACTGAATAAGCTGCTTAAGAGATGGTAAAAGAATTGACATTCACACTTCTTCACAGTTTCAAATGTTAATTTTTAAAATGGGGAATATTTATTTGTCAATGTTATTTTAAAATTAATTCTAGTTTTTATTCAGAAATTATAATTATATGCATTGATGGGGTCTGTGATATTTTGATAAGTGTATACAATGTGCAATGATTGAATCAAGACTATTAACATATCCATCACCTGCTTTACCTATCGTATTTTATGGTGCCATGTTTGAGATTTGGTATCTTAGTTATTTGAAATATATAGTACATTATCATTGACTATAATCACCCTGATGTGCAATATTTCTCAAAATATTCCTCTTGTCTATCTGAAATTTCATAGCTTTGATCGACGACTCTCCATTCTCTCCTGTACTCCATTCTAACTGCTGTCAGTGAGTTCAACATTTTTAGATTCCACACCTCAACTCTATTTGGCAGCTGAGAAACAGAAGCATAGATTAGCAAAGCCAAGTTGAAAAACTTGACTGTCTGATTAGATTCTGCTGATATACCAAGCTGCCTCACTGGGCCCAGAGACCCATAGGCTCACCTATGCACTTAGCCTACATACAGGGAGCAAGACATACAACTTTTAAATTTTTTATTTGCAAGTTCTTTCCTGGAACTGAATCAGAAAATTAGAGCACCTTAAGGATTTCTGGACCAACACCTTCATTTTACAAGAAAAAAGGATTTCAGTGTGGTTGGACCATATACTCAAATATAATAAACACCAAAAGCATCTATTATATGCCAGCTGACTTTCGCTGGGCTCAGTGGCACACACCTGTAATCCCAGTGGCTTTGGGAGGCCGAGGTAGGAAGATTGCAAGTTCAAAGCCAGCCTCAGCAACTTAAAGAGGCCCTAAGCAACTTAGTGAGACTCTGTCTCAAAATAAAAGCTAAAAGGGGTTGAGGATGTGGCTCAGTGATCAAGAAACCCTGGATTCAATCCCTGATAGCAAAATTAAATAAACAAAATAAGGGTGACTTTCAACTGGGTCTCTGTTGTTGCTAAGTCAATTCCACCTTTTCCTTGGTCTAATCTCCAAGTTATTTGATAACCTTAAGTTGTTTGCAGTGAACCTCTCAGTTGAACTAGTCCAGCTCAAAAAAAAAATAAATTAAATAAATAAATAAAAATTCTCAGGCTCAAGGAGAAAAGTCAGTGGAATCAAAATGAGGATCAAGTTTATGGTTTCTTTTCATTGGTGGTTGCTTATAATAATTGGCTGTATTAAAGCTTTTAGACACATCGAAGGCCAGGTCCACTTCCCAGAGGATCTAGTGTAGCCTCCAGGTGATTCTCAGGTTCCAGCCTCTGCAGAGGCATGTTTGAGATGTTAGCACACAACTTCCTAGACTTAGAAGGCTTTGAACATCTGCTCTTCTAGAGCAGGAAGGAGTCATGTAATGAAAAAGAGAAGCTCAGGCAGTCAGAGACAGGCCCCTACAGCTGTGCAGGAAGAACTGTAGAATGCAAAATATGGAAGGTGAAAGCCATACTTCTCTCTTATGTATGACTTAACCCATGATGTAGACCATCCAGGCCTGTCACCAGACCATAGGGGAGCTGCTGACAAAGCAGTCTCCCAAGAAGGTTAAAAGGCCAAACCCCATTTTTTGGGGGAAAGGATCCAAACAAATAAAAAAGATATTCAATCTAAAGAAAAAGACTTAAGAGACATTTATTTGTTTTGTAGGATCGGGGATTCAATGCCCTAGGGGTACTCTACCACTGAACTACATCCCCAGTCTTTTATTTTTATTTTTTATTTGGAGATGGTCTTGCTATGTTGCCCAGGCTGGTCTTGCATTTGTGATCCTTCTGCCTTGGCCTCCCAAGCCCCTGGGATTACAAGTTGGCACCACCAGGCCTGGCTTAAAGTGTCTTAACAAAAGATATCTCATGAAAGAAAAGTAGGACCAAGTCTGTCATTTTGGAAGATGAATCTAGGGTTACTGGGTGAGAGACAGGAGAACCCAAGGAGCTTCAAGGTCAGTGAGCAAAACCCAAGGATGCAGAGGTCAGGGAGATGCTGCCAAGGGAGCCCCAAGTGCTGAAAAGAAGTCCCCTTAGTCCCTTCCCTCCCTGAAAGTCCACAATTGTGATCATTGATGGAGACAAAAGTTCACCTGGCCTCTCAGCATGATGTATGGATTACAACTAGATTTTCACATTTCTGGTAAGCAGCAACACCAGCAAAACAATTGAAAACAAATCCACTGACTCATGCATTCCAAAAACTTTCATATATATTTGAAAGACCTTTATTTCATGTTGTATTTATATGCAGTGCTAAGAAAGGAACCCAGTGCCTCACACATACCGGGCAAGTGCTCTACCACCAAGCCACAGCCACAGCCATTTCTTTCTTTCTTGATGAGGTGCTGGGGATACCCCAGACCTTGCACACACTGGGCAAGTGCTCCACCTCTAGGCCCTTGTTATTTGCAACCCTTGCCTCGGCTGCAGAGCTTCTGCTGGCTAATGGGGTCCCCTCCCCTGTGGCTCCTACCTGCTCCTCCTCCCCTTGCATCTGCTTGATTCTATGCTGCCCTACTGTCAGCAGCCTTACTCAGACATTCCCAGGGAGTCTTGCTTTGGGTCACAGAGTCACTGTGCTGCGGCAAGATCCCACTGTCATTTGACACCACCTCAGAGCCTGATGTCAGCCTCTCTGTGGACAGCTGCCCTTCACATAATCCCCAAGTTGTTCGGTTAACGGTGGCTGGTGTGGAAAGGTCATGGGGTTTAATAAAAATTAAATATGATCGCTTGCACATAATATGTCCCTTAAGAGGTGGCTGGTCCGCTGGTGGATTCCCAGAAGATAAGACTCTGTGTGTGGCCTACTCAGGCTCTAAAGATGTTGCCAGGGAACTTCACCAGCTCCTGCCGTCCCGTCTCCCCAGCCCTCCTGCCATCTATCTTATCCCTTCTCTTGCCCACCCCATTCCTCCCCCTCTCTCTGCAAGATGATGTTTTTCTTTTAGTTTATTTTCTGACTCCATCGTGGATGATGTATAATCAGGAGGAGGAACCACCTGTAGGCCTGAGGTTCAGGTTCAGCCACCTCCTGCCTTCCTTCCTAGCTATCCATCAGCTGGGTTGGAGAGTTCAGCCTGTGATGGGAATCAGATGTGCTTCGTTGGTCTCCTCAGATTGGAGGATTTCAATGATTGAACGAGTATTTTAAGTAGGACCCCATGGGAGTTTATTTCAAATTCATTTAAAAATGCAAATGAATGAAAAAGAGCCTTTCGTAAGATAAGGTTTGGTTAGAAACGGGAGGAAGAAGAAATGTCAGGTGCTTGAAAGGGAAGGAATAGAGGAAGGAGCAAAGTTGGAGACGACAAGTCTGGACAACAGAGCCTGGGCTTCCATCTGCTTTTGTGCACCAGCCCTGCCGTGGCAGGCATCCCCCGACTCTGGCCCTTGATGTGGGAGGTTGGTGGCTTTTCCGACTGTGGTAGGCTTCACAGTGGCCTGATTCTTTGTCACTCCTTCAGATTGGCATATCCCTTTAGCCCCTCCCTATGAATGGGGCATGGAATGCTGAGGTTCAGGGAGCTGCGATCTGAGAGATGTGACTGTGGGAGCCAGGAAAAGTGGATGCAAACCAAGGAGGTCTCTGGAATGCCACTCAAGGTCCCGTGGTGTGCCCGGGCTCTTGGGTCCAGAGGGAACTGGCATTTCCCAAACCAATCAGGCTTATAGGGCTTTTGAGATCACTGGGTTTCTAGACTGACTTGGAAGGGAGAAAAGTTGGAGAGATAAGTTTTACCATTGGCTTGGTTTGAACCATCTCGATTTTATATCCCTTGGGATAGAGCTCAGTGAGTTAGACACCAGTGAGTGCTTAAGGAGCCAGTCTCTTAGGAAGGTGATAAATGGCCCCGGAGACTCGGCCTTTTATTATAGGTTATCAAGGAAACAGTGGCATTGGTTTTATAGTTTCTTTAGAAGAAGTCTGGAAAGGGGTTCGACCCGGGAGTGATCTTTGCTGTCTTTGTCTCCTCTCCTTCAGTGGTCACTGGGCTTCTTCTTGGATCTTCTGTAGCTCATTTCCTATCCTTACTTACTTTTTCTCCTTCCCTAGCAAAGTTACACCATTTCTGGTTCTTTTCTCTCAAGAGGACACTTTATACTTCTGTTACCTTGAAGGTAAATCCTGACAGGACTTGGGACACAGAAACTCAGTGGTACATGCAGCGCAGTGCTATGTGCCTGTAATCCCAGCTCGGGAGACTGAGGCAAGAGGATCACAAGTTCAAAGCCAGCAGCAACTTAGTGAGTCCCTAAGCAACTCAGTGAGACCCTGTCTCAAAATGAAATGTACAAAAGGACTGGGTGTGTGGTTCAGTGGTTGGAGACCCTTGGTTCAATCCCCTGCACCAAAAAAAAAAAAAAGAAAGAAAGAAAACAATTCAGTCTGTTTCCTCAAATCAGATATTTCACTCATAGTTGATTTATATGCACTTTACACATCCATATATATTAGCATGAAAAATGGGTTGAGTAATAGTAATGGTATCTGTAAACACTTTGCTTTGTTAATTTGTAAATTATACCATCTTCTAGGACAGCCAGAGACAGGAACCTGTTTCAATATCCCACTGTCCCTCTGAGCAGCAATTCTTTTTTAGAAAACCCCAAGCAGAATTTCTTCTTATGATCTGTCTCAATTTTATACTGATGAAGCTAAAAGTGTATTAAAGAGAAAAACGAAAGATTTGGGTCCAACTGAATTAGAACCATTGGGTGGAATGCATTGTCATTGGGTGGAATGCATCTT